GTTTTTCTCCGGTACCGGGAACCGAACTCACGACCTTGCGCTTGCCAGGCAGGCGCTTTTGCCGCTGAGCTAAATCCCCAGCCCCAAATGACATGATTAATTATCCAAAACATCCTAAAGACTGAGTCAAAAAGGTCCTGGAACTAATAAATGATTTTTGCAAAGTTTGTGGGGTTCAAGATTAATGTACTAAAGTTAACAGCTTTCTTATGTACCAAACTTTGCCAGTGGCTTTGACATCCATTGAATGTCCTGTATACTGTATTCTATTGCCTGAATATTTCTTTATACTGTATTGCAAAATCATGCTTTTCTAATTTTATTACTTTCTGCACTGATTAGCTGGAAGTCTTCTGAAAAGAAGAAAAGCCTTTCCTTTCTCCACTAAGGTTGTCTCTGTTGCTTTGTTTACTTTTTTTCTTTCGTCTCTATAGATACATGTAATTTAAAATTTTCTATGCATTATGTCTATTATATTATCAATTTTGTCTATTCTCAAATAGCCCAAACTTGGCTTTACAAATTAATTCCTTTGTTCTTCTTGCATGATTCCAGGAGATTTTGAGGGCTTTTTTTTGTCAGTGTGTTATATATGACTGTTCTCATTCTCGGAGGTAGAACACAGTTCTGTGTAGTCCTTGAATGTGGTCATTTCAAAGTAATGGCCTTTTCTGGGGCTGCTGTGCTATTTTCCGGGTGCAGGGCTGCAAAAGCCAAGTAGCTCTCTACCGTGATATTTCCCTTTTACAACTAAGTTTACTTCCAAATCCATGGCGCATGGTATCACGTTCATTTCTACCAGATGCCTGAAGAAATATTTATCTCTTACTATCCTATTAGAGAGCTTAAGGCTTCAGTGCATTTTGCAGGCATTTCTGCACTTCTAGTGTTTTGCTGTATATTGAGAACTTGTCTGTAATAACTGTCATGGGCAACCCTTCTGAAATGGGCACAGGTCTGTACTCCTCATCCACAAATTGTTCTGAGTTTCTGTGCTCTTTCTTTTTTTGAACTAGTTTTCTGGGTGATGGGGTGGGATTCAGCTTTTTCTTTCTATGAGTTTTTTCTATAACAGCTTTTGATTCAATAGCCCAGTGATCTTTTATCTACCCTGAGATATTACAGTAAAAACATTAATACACTGTTCATTAAGCAGTTTCCCAAAATGTCAGTGCCAAGTTCAGGTTATACATTTTTTAAGACTTAGAAATTTAAAAATTTGATGTTTACTTTCTGGTCTGCCACTGTTGCAAACTTCTACTGGGGTTATAAAGGTCATGTATGTAATTTTCTGAGCTTAGGGAAAGAATCTTTAGTTATCTGAAGAAATTTACTGAAGCATGAAGGGAAGACATAGGTTAACATCTTCCAGTTGGTCTGGTAAAAAGTCAAACAACAAAATATTTTATACACTATGTATCACTATAGTAAAAAGATAATTCAAAGTATACAACAAAAAAATTAAAAGTAATGTTAATATCTCAAGTAAAAAATATGGATGAATTTACTTTCAAAATTTACATATTTTCTAAACTACTATAATTTTTACTAACTGGTTAAATAAGCAACATTGGAACACATAATTATTTTAGAAAATTTTGAAAGTTCAAGAAAGTACCACAGGGGGCTGGGGATTTAGCTCAGCGGCAAAAGCGCCTGCCTGGCAAGCGCAAGGTCGTGAGTTCGGTTCCCGGTGCCGGGAAAAAAAAAAAAAAAAAAAAAAAAAAAAAAAAAAAAAAGAAAGTACCACAAAGAATAAAATTATTCAAAACTAGATAGTTGTCATAACTCTCGTTGTTTAGTGTGTTGCTTTATTTTATATATATTTTACATAATTTTGAACATTTTATATATCCATTAATAAAAAATAATCATGGTAAAAAACCTAGCATAAAGTGTATTATCGTAACCATTTTCAAAGGTACAGTTCAGGGTACTAGCAGTATGTTGTAATCAATCTCAGAAGATTTTTTTTTTTTTTTTTGGTTTTTCTCTGGTACCTGGAACCGAACTCACGACCTTGCGCTTGCCAGGCAGGCGCTTTTGCCGCTGACCTAAATCCCCAGCCCCAGAAGATTTTTTTCTTGGAAAATTGAAACACTATATTCATCAAACAGTACACCTCCATTTTTTTTTTCTCTGTTGCTGGAAGCTACTATTTTGTTTTGTCTATTTGAATTATAACTCCTCTAGAATGGAATCATACAGTTTTTGTCTTCTTATGACTGTCTTATTTCACTTAGCATAATGTCTTAAAGGCTTACCAATATTATAGCCTGGTACAATTTCCTCTCTTTTGAAGGCTGGATAGTATTCCACTGTATGTATGCACCTCATTTATTTGCCGTTGCATACACTTTGATGCTACTGTTTCTTGACTATGTGAATAGTATTGGAGTGATCATAGTGCGCAAATATCCCTTTGGGATCTTGCTTTCAATTCTTTAAGAAATATATCCAGAAGTGGGATTACTGAATCAATAATAGCTCTCTGTGGTTTTGAGGGCTCTCCAACCTGTACTCCCAGAATGGATGCACCATTTTACAATCCTATCAGATGAATGTATTCCGTTTCACCAAGTGCATTTAAAAAAATTGTTTGTAGTCAATCTTTTTTCTTAAAGAAGTTGCTATTCAGTAATATGATTTCATTAATCAGAATTTCCTCATAATCCCTTAAAGTTTCTTAATATTTTGAATCAAAGAACCCTCTGAGAATTTGATAAGAGCCTCAAAATTCTCATACTGCACAACTGAACATATTTAAATGAAATCAGTTTCCTTATCTTTAGGGGATCTATAAACAAACTCTCCCCAGACCCCTGACATCCACAGACTATATTTGAAAACCTTCTGATGTTACATATGCTATACCTACACTAATTTTTCATTTAAGAGGATTTATGTTTATGTTTTTCAGGTACCTTTACAAGAATGAAATTCACACACTGGATAAGCAAACATTTAAGGGTCTCATATCCTTGCAACAGCTGTAAGTAATAGAAACTTCCTAATTAAATCACCCAGAGGTTCAGGTTCAAATAGAACATTGTTTAAAAATGTCATTATGTGATAGTTGTGCAGCTATTTTAGGTTTTGTCATGTGGTTTGAATGATGCGTGTTTGATTATCAGCTGGATAACAATCAGCGTACATGGCTGAGTCGGCCTGAAGGGAAGGAGATAGAACTAAGGCAGCAACCCAGCTTCTACACTTATTTATAGCGTGATTTAGGGGAAGTTACCATTGCTAAGTCTCTCTCCAGATTTCTGAAATGCAGCTATATCTGCTGTGATTTGATTAAGGTTTGGGTGCAAATAGAGTAGTTTATTACTTGCATAAGATAGGCATTTCGTAGACAGAAATTTATACTTGGGAATCTTAGTCATTTATGAAATTCAGAATTTTAACTTATATAAGAAATGCCCGGAGTATGAGATGTAACTTCTCATTTCACAGGTGATAAAATCAAACCCAGTGTTCATTAAGTGGCTTGCCTCAAATTAAGTCCGTGAGATGATGACATCTCAGTCCTGACTTCGACCTAGTGTAGAAGTCCACATTTGACACTTCAGATTCACCTATCAGAGTTTCAGGGTGAAATGAGTTCATCAGTATCAAAAAGTTTTACAGTTATGCTACTCCTGAACTGCAATTTGATGTTTTATTCAGAGATTTCTCACAGTTATGCATGTCTGAAACATGAATTCTAATTAGACATTTGAAGAAATTTTCTCCCTCTGATGAAAATACTGTGGGATACTTTATAGGTCCAGATACATAAAATGTGCTTTGATTTTTAATTGTAGGTAGGGTCCCTACATATTAGAAGTGTTGGATTTCCAACTTTGTTTCCACTTTCAGTGTGGTTTCTTAATTTGAAAGACTATTTGCAATTATTTCTATAATGAACATGCTTAGAGAAACTTGGCTTTCTTTTTCTTAAGACGTCAAGTCATTAGGCGATTTTATTAAACTATAATCAAATATATTTAAAAATTGTCACTGCTTCTACTTCTTCCCTTACTTAATTTTATTTTCATGAGCAATAAACTTCCCCTATAACAAAGTGTTTCATTTCCTTATAAAATGTGTAACATTTTAGATAACTTTTACCTATATTGCAGAATTATCACATGAACAAATCATATGTAAATTCTTTAACAATAAAGCACTTAACAATGTGATGGTCAAGATTACATTTTGTTTTCATGAAATATATTTACAGATGGTTTTAAAAAAATAACATGTGAGAAGTTCTAATGCCTATTTAAAATCCACAGAATTCTCATGAGGAAATGTTTCATATTCTGATAATAATTACCGGTTTTACTGATTTTAAGTAATGCAATGTTTAAAGAATTTCTGCTTTCTATTTTTAAAAACTATGCCATGCCCTTGTGAATTCAAAGATTTTTGATGTCCAAAACTGTAATTTATAATCTTTGGAACTTTCATAGTTTTAATCTTAGCTCTGAAGTTCAATTTTACTTTGGTATATCTCTACAAAACTACAGTGGAGCTGGAGGTGCCTGTGATATTTGTTCTTTAAGATCTACTCATATTGCTTTATTTTAATGAGTATTACTTAATCTTCTTTGGATTAAATTGCTTTTTGAGGAAGTCAAGGATACATGATAGATGTTTGCAAAGGCATCAAAACTAGTATGTATATACAGGATAGATAACATGGTTGTTCTATCTGCTGTTTCTATGCTGAAAGAAACTGTCAATGAGTCTTTGGTTGACCAGTATTGCATGTCTATATCTGTTTTCATGAGAAGCCACTTTGAAGATATCAATATGTAATACAACCACCATTGTTAATTCCCTACCACTTTGTTTGTAACTCTGTATTGTCTGTATTGTGCTTGTGATATGTTGTAAAATGTTGTATGTCTGTTAATGTTTCCCTCCTTTTATCCTTAAAATAAAAAAAAAAAAACCAAAAAACTAGTAGTGTGTCACAAGGCCAATTCTGCTTCTGACGAGACTGTTCACAATCAGGATAAAAATGCACTTTGTGATTTTCCTATAATCTTCAAAAGACAGTCTTTGAACCTAAAAGGTGAGGATGGGAAGTGAAGAAAGACTATTGAAGAAAGATTTGTAAACCTAATTCTTTGGGGCTGGGGACTTAGCTCAGCGGTACAGCACCTACCTGGCAAGCACAAGCTCGTGAGTTTGGTTCCCGGTACTGGAAAAAAAACAAAAAAAGTAACTCTTTGTTTGATCTTTTCGTTGATTGAAAATCCTGCTTGAAGGATAAATGTTTTCTCTGTGTTTCATAAATTTTTTTCCATGTATTAACTACATGAAAAGGAATTTTTTTAATGAAACACAATAAAGTCATGGACTAAAATACAACTGTACTTCTAAGTGTCAATGAGTCTTAGTTATTTCCGAAAATAACTTGTTCAAATATTGTGTATGAGCAACAGAAGGTGTGAGAGAAATACTAAGTAAGCTTTGTAAGAATTATAATCATGAATGTTAATGTGAGAAAAATAGTGATCTTGTATTAGATGAATGTGAATATAATCATGAATTTTAATGTGAGAAAAATAGAATTATCCCATATTAGATGAATATGCATTAAAGGCATGGAATTGTGACTATATAATGAATTTTACCAAATATAAATTTTTTTGCTTAGGTATAATTTTTTTAGTTAATCATGCATATTCTGCTAGGGGAACACCACCAGTTAGGGTTGATGATGTGTCTAAAGCAGTGTTTTAGCCCTACGAATGGCACAGAGGATCATTTGATGGTTTCACTTTTCAGATCATGAGTGAGTTTTGTGCTCTTAGAAAGCACAGTTTAATAATTCTTATATCAGTCAGTCATCCTGATTTCAGTTTTTCTTCATCTAAAAATTCAGCCTTTATTCCACTGGTTCGATAGATATATATTCACTGATCAGATGTTTCTTTTCTAATGAATTTTTCTTCCTCCTGTCTCTCTAATAGACACTGAATATCTCTTTGTGAGAATGATAGCTTCTTCTCCTGCTCCGTCCATGTGGTGAACTGGGTGTTTTATCATCTCAGTCATTATTTTCTAACCTACATTTCTCTTCAATCTATAACCTCATATTTCTTACTTTCCCTTTTCTTTTGATATTTATTATTTCTGAATGCTGTACTTCATCAATAGCCAGTTTTTAGATGACAGCAGGCTTCCGCACTTGTGTAAAACTGTCAAAGATTGCTTTGTGTATTAAATATAAACCTCTCATTCTGTCATCTCCTATAATTATGGAAAGAAGCAAGGCAATGATATTCAGCATAAGGTCGGAGAAAGTGTACTTGAGTTTGATCTCAGTGAAAAAGTTTGACATTTATTAGCTATTTGATCTTGAGACTCTCACTCTAAAATTGCAAACCTTGGTTTTCTTTTAGTATTTTAAAATAAGAATAATAATAGTGATTTACCAAACTGACACTGAAATCTAAGGATTTCATAAATATGAAACACTTCTAAAGAACAGATGTTTAAATAATAGTACTTATTACTTTTGTTACTATATTTATTATTATTTTCTTGTTACCATTCCAGTAATTATGTTCTGCACAGCTTCTTTGAAGATATCTAATTTTAAATGGTATATTTTCAGACACAATATTACAATATTAAATCTAACCAGTGTTGCCAAAATCATTAATTCAATTATTTTGACCTTTCTTGATCTGTCTAGTTTATCAAATGTTTTCTAATTTTATTATTATAAGTTACAACTGGCTATACATGCTTAAAGGTTAATCATTTTAAACAGGAATATCCAGAATTATAGAGTTACCATTTCAAAAGTTTTATTACAGATATCTTAATTTTCAGAGGTCTAATTATAATTCATTAAAAAAATTAAAGTTATAGATATCTTTATGCCTATAGACACTTACAGCATAAGAATTCTGATTAGGACAATAAATAAGTAAAACTTGTTCTTCTCATTCATTGCCTGAAAGTCTTACTTTAGAGCCATGTTGGGTTTATGCATTCGGTCAATACCAAAAACCATCAGAAACACAACTATATTTAAACAAGTGAGGTCTATTGTTCATTACAGCCAAGGAGGGCTCAGGCATGGGGAGCAGTACACAGTGCTGAATGTGTTAAGAGAACAGCTTGTAGAATTTGAGCTTTAATTTGGGTGAATAGAAAGCATCTCTAAGGAAGCAGAGATTTGTTCTAGTTTGGAGGATATCGAAAAGTAGGGACAGTTGTGTATCTTTATAAATCTTATCCATAGGAGGAAGACTATAATAATGTGGATAAAATGGAAATTGGTAAGATGCAGCATTCACTGAATTTGGCCAAGAGAAGAAGCTGCTGGAATTTTATGAGTGTCTTGGCTACTTTTCTCTTGTTGCTGAGACAAAACACCTGATGGTCAGAATTGACATATATTGTCTGAAACTATATTCAGTAGAAGAATAGCATGGGCTATCCATAAATGCTGGCCAAATTTCTCAAAGTAAACATGAGTCCAAAATGCAAAATAAAAGATGGAGCATTGTGGAAATAAATATTTTTCACTAAAAACTTCAAAGAAATCTTTCCACTATGATTACTAATAAAATATTATCAAACTAAAAACATCTTTAAAGTATGACATCTGGAAAAACTTCCATTTAATTAAAAACCAAATTTCTAGTTTTGACTGTGATGGTATCAGAGAAACTAGATTTGTATTCTGCTTTTAAAACACTAAAAACAATGGGAAACATATACAATGATAGTTTTCAGGCACAGGCTGGCATCCAGGGAAGATCCCTGAGAGAAGAGACACCTGAGGTCACCTCCGTGCTTATTCCTGTAGAGCAGTTCCAAGGCTGAAGTGCAGGGAAGTGGCCCACGGCCAGGGAGTGGCAGGCGTTTTGAGTGGAGGAGACAGAGGACGGAGCTTAGGGGCCTGGTGTAGTGAAGCTGGTGCCCTAGAGAGGTAGAGAGTGGGCAGCTACACAGAGAGACCTAGAGATCTGCAAA